TTTGTGTGTGTTTTCACCGTGCCCTCCTCCCCACGGGAACCACACACGCCTGTTCCCCGGAGAGCCGGGGTTGGTGCCGACTGGGGGAATCGTTCGAAAAGTTAACACAATCCGGCACTTAATTCCTCGCTGAAACCGTCTTTTTCCCTTGCCTGGTTTCCTTTAAAAACCACTAACGTGCTTTAGTTTTGTTGTTGTTTTGTTTCCTCACGCCTGTTCCCCGGAGAGCCGGGGTTGGTGCCGACTGGGGGAATCGTTCGAAAAGTTAACACAATCCGGCACTTAATTCCTCGCTGAAACCGTCTTTTTCCCTTGCCTGGTTTCCTTTAAAAACCACTAACGTGCTTTAGTTTTGTTGTTGTTTTGTTTCCTCTTCAGGTCAGGGAGCGTCGCGCAGAATTGGCACGAGATATTTGATTTTGTGAAGCAGCTGACGGAAAGATTTGTGAGGTGCGTTTTGCTCCTTGTGGCATCTGTAATACTGGCATAATTTATTTTATTATTTAAAAAAAACCAACAAACCCTTTTGTAAGCCCAGGAGATGTGTTTCACAAGAGTGTTGAGTTTGGCTTCTGCTGCCCCGATTGCTGGAAAACATCTGAAGCTTTAACTTAATTTTCTCATGTTTGGACTCAGTAAAAAGGTGGTAGCATACATCTTTAAATACTTAATATCTAAAATGACTCAGATATGATTTTTAAACTTTTTTTTTCCTGTAATCCATATGCTTAATTTACTGAGGGAGTACTTGTACATGGCTTGCAGAGATCTATTTAAAGAAAGTTATCTGAATACATGCCTAGACATCTGTAAATAAATATATGGTGTGGGTCAAAAAGAAGGGACTGTCAAGCTCAGACATAAAGTTTCTGTCCTGTTAACAGTATATTTGTGGTGCATATATGTAACCAACTTTGTAATTGGCTAAGCAGTGTCATCTGGCAAGTATTGCTGCTTTCAGAAATGGCTGTTGTAAATACTGGCTAACTGTACTCAGCAGAAACATCTGAGAATTGCTGTGATGCACCATTTTGCTATTAAAAAACTCCAAACCAGAATAAAACAAAAGAAGTTTCCCCCCCTCCCCTGCCAAGATACAGGCGTAGATGTTGTGGTAGTTTTTGCTGTGGAAAATGAAGTGCAGTGGGCAGCTGTAATCTTGGCATGCTAATAAGGGGATACAACTAATTATTTGCATAATTAAATACTGCTTGTAGTCATCTTGTTAAAAAGCAAATCTTCTGTAAACCAAGCGGGTGATTGAAGTTTTTGAAAGTTATTGTGTAATCTCTAAAATAAAAAAAGAGCCTGAGGATGCCAGACTACTTTTCACTACTTTTCAGTGAATGGTGAAAAAATCAGTTTGGCCCCACTGGAAGGGTGGTGGTTATTCATTGTAAATCTCTCAGTTCACAATCTTTTGCAGCCAAGTGACAGTCCCTTTTGCAACAGTTTGTTGTGTAGTGGTCTGGTTGTATTATCTGAAATAAAGCTGTTGAGTTGGGAATATACTTTGCTGACCTTTCACACCAAAGAAGAGTCAATTCCCAGGCAGAGATGATTAATACTCCCATGTCTTAAAATATAATGTAATTTAGAGCGTTTCAGATTTTTGTATTCAGAGCTCTAATGGGTAGACTGCAATACTGGGTCTTAAATCCAAGATTTGGGCAGTTCTGTGCAAAGATTTGCCCAGTACTTGTATTTCCATGACGTCAATCATTTTAAGTTGCATCACTGACATAAGTGAACTGAAAATGTATAGTCATTCACCTTTACAAGTGTTATATTTGCCCCCTCCCTGGAGGTGTTCAAGGGCAGGTTGGATGAGGCTCTTGCAGCCTGGTCTGGTGGGAGGTGTCCCTGCTCATAAGAGGGAGGCTGGAACCTGATGATCTTTAAGGTCCCTTCCAACCTTCACCATTCTGTGATTCTTTGTCTTTACTAACATTAACCCAACTAATGAATGCTGATACATATATATAGTGAATTATAAGATTACCCAATATATTGAAATTGTCATGAATAAAAATTAAAAGGAGGTCGGAGAGATGTCATTACAATTTACCTTAGGGAAGTTACTGTCTTAGGCTTCCAGAGCATCAGTTCTTCTGGATTTTCCACAGATAGTTGAATATAATTCCTTGTAATCTTGTTAGAAGAGACAGGTGGGCTTCACCTGTCCAAAAAAAAAAAAAAAGAATTCCTTAACAAAACCAATTAATACAGTGTTGCATTTTATAATGACATTTCCCCAGATACTTTTATGGAAGTTGATCTTAAGTGGCATCACTCTGTGTCACCAAAACAAAAACATACTCATTCTGAAAAAGTTTGTCATGCTACCTCTGTAGAGGTGATTCATTCTGAAGGCACTGTTTGTTTGAGGATTTTACCACCAAAAAGCACAGTTGGAATTTATATTGAGTCAGGATCAACCTTTAAAAAGGGGAAGCTGGGTTTTGAATGTGTCCATGTTTACTACCCCGAGTCTACGTCCCTGACTTATTTGGTGACCATAAAAATGTAAAAGGATGTCTTACCTTCTGTACCTGGGAAGATCACAAGCTAGGTTGTTCACTTGCAGTGGGGTTGCAGGAGATACTGACCACTAAGCTTAGTATGTCTTGATCTGGAGTCTAACCAGGCAAGAAGGAATAATAATTCTAGTACTTCATGCTCAAAGCATCTGGGTAAGGAGTGGATGGGCAGAAATTCTTTAATTCCTCTCACATTCTGGGTTTGTAGTTTGAAAGTATATTCTTTGGAAGTTGGAGGATAATGATACTAATGAAGCATGAGTAAGTGAATGAAACGCTGTGCATCTCTACATTTCTCTTGATTCATCTGAAGTGTTTTGGTTTTTTTCCTCTTTCTCTTTTTCAAAAGCCCCAAGATGAGATTATCGTTTATCGTGTTTTCCACCCAGGCGCACGTCATTATGCCATTAACTGGAGACAGGTTAGTGCACTGCTTTTTTAATTCTTCCCTTCCCTCCTCCCCACCAAGGGTTCTTATCAAATCAGAGGAGCAGTAACAGATACTGAGCAATAACTGATACCTTTAAGTGGTGGCCAGAGCCAGATTTCATTTTGTAAACATATCAATGGATAGCCTAGTGAAAAAGGAAGGAGAAGATGGGAAATAAATTCTTGATGTGAGCTCTGCCACTGCTTTGCTGAACATTTTCATCTCTGCATGACTCTGCATCTTCCTTGGCACAGTAGGAGAAATGATTCTTGCTTTTATTTTTTGCAAAGCAATATCTGTAGATAAGTCTTCAGTATTGTATTCATGTCTAGGTAAAGCATACAATAGTAAATCAATGTTTCTCATAATCTCATATGTGGCAAATGTTTCCATTTTGTGTTTTCAAATCACAACTTCAAAATTGATTTTAGACAACGGAGTTGCTGCCACTTGAAAGGTGTGAGATCTTTCCAGCATTGTGATTATAAATGGATGTGCCTGACCTCTTCCTTTCAGTTGATGTTTTAAAAGGCAGTGGCACTGAAGGCTGCTCTCTCTGATTTCTTGACCTAGGACAGGTCAAGGATTAGGTGAGGGAAACACAAGGGAAAAAACAGGCAGAGAAGACATTGTTGCAAAATTAGCTACTAAAATCAGAGGAATTGGAAACCCATGTTGTGGAATCAGTGGTTTCAGCAGTGGATGGTTGTACTGGCATCAAAGTTCTTCAGTATTCTCTTAGCCTTGTCAGAAACAGCACGACCTCCTCTCTCTCTCCCTTCTGTCCAGAAGGGAACCACACGGCACAACTTTTTGCATTTTGAACATGTGGATAAACCATTTATGAATCACTTTAATGAAGTGTGGCAGGGTAGAAGTGAGGTAGTCCTTCCTTTCTGCTGCCTTTAGTAGAGTCAATGTAGCCAGTTAGTTTAATATGTGGGCTTGTTGGTTTTTTGAGAGGTGTTTTTTTTTTTGTTAATAATACATAATAGCAAGTACAAGACTTACTGAAAAGACCTATCATGAGCAACAGACAAAGGTGTCACACTACAGAAATGCTGATATCCTGGAAACAGGATGCCTAAAGCCCCGGTTTTAAGCCCCTCCTGGTTTAGCATTTTAAAAAGTGGTCTGACTTGAGAACAGCCAAGTTTTCACTTCCCCTACAAGAACTTGGATACTGGATCTGCTCCCTGCGGGGAGAAACAAGGTTATAAGCCATTTTTCCAGATGGCTTCAGAGAGGTCAGGAGAGGACACTTAAGCCTATTCTGAGGACTGCTGAAGTCAATGAGATCCTCTCTCTGGGTTTCAATAGGCTCTTTATCCCTTTCAGTGGCCTTTTCCTTATCTAGCATGGAGAGTCAGCACTGATAATGTACAGACCACTTGGAATGCTTGAGCAGAACTCTGGAACCAGGCCAAGGAAGCACAAGCACTTTTTTCATTGCGTGTCCATGGCAAGCTTTAAGCCATGGAAAGAACTGTGTTTTTCTCAGAAGCCTCCTTTAAAGCATAGGAAGAACATTCTTCAGTTCTAGTGAGCTCCTTTGTGGGACTTTTCTGTAATACAAGGTTTGCTGAAGCTTTTTTCAGTGTAGTAGGGGAAAGGAAATTACTGTCCTTATTGTTTAGGAGGAATTATGAGACTGAAGAAGGAAACAGTAGTAACTGTGACTGACCATATATATGTAGGTAAGAATGGATAGATACAGTTGGAACAGCTGTCCTTTTAAATATTAAAGAAGTCAACAGAGGAAAATGACTTAAAATGTCTAATTCCCTTTGTTCCAAACAGAAGGATGCTAAGTACAGTGCAGTTTTGGGCATGGGTGTGTACTGATTATGTGATATTATGGCCTTGTTTTTTTAATGTGCATTTTGGACTTGCAGGGATGTTTTTCCCCTGGCTTGCTAATTTGCAAACGTCAGGAAACCACAATTCATTCCCATAGTTAGTTCAAAGTAGGGAAGTATTTTTGTTCTGTTTTGAAAGCCTTAGGCTTCTAATTGTTTGCACAAAGTTCTTGCTGGTTTTTACTGCATAATAAAGCTGGAGATGTAAAGAAACCCACACCATAGCACCAAAGACCAAAGCCCCCAGATTACCAAATGTTTAGTGACTATGAACAGTGCTATGTGAATAACTCTGGAAACAGAAGTCACTGTTAACCACAGGACACGCAAGGCTATAATACATGCACAGAACAAAAATAACACCCAGATGGAAAAGACTTCTCACAATGGTTATATCCCATTTTAGAGATACACATTTTCCCTGTGAAATTCAGCTGCAAACTGTATGCTAAGTGGTAAACAAAGATTTGTGCAGTCATGTTTAGGGCTCAGTTTTGCTGCTGGTTTTGAGAAGAAAGTTGTTTGGAAAAGCCTATGCACTTCCAAATATCAGACAGGTAGCATAATATCTTCTGCATTCTCTTTTGGCCGAGTGTTGCTGGCCAGCAGATTTCATGTTTCTGTAAATCTGACCAGTGTCCATGGCCAGGACTAGCCCTGCTGACACTGCTCAGGTGAAACTCCCATTGAAACTAAAGAAAAGTTGTATTAATGAAGGTGGAAAAATAGGACACTTAAGTACCTAGTACATGACCAACTGTACCTTACTGTGCTTGTCTGCAGGCTGGTGGAGTTCACTTACTATTTCTTTACTGCACAAACATGTAACCTAGCAAGACATTTATGTTATGAGACATTTTTGCTTCAGTCTTCTCTGGCGAGTGCTCCAGCCTTATTGCAAAGGCCACAGCAGGTGAAAGCAGGGACTGGGAAAACAAAGCACCCTCCCACTGTAGGAGAAGAACAGGTTTGTGACCATCTAAAGAACCTGAAGGAGCACAAGTCTGTGTGACCTGATGGGGTCCATCCACGGGTCTTGGGGGAGCTGGTGGATGCAGTTGCTGAGCCTCAGTCCATTATATTTGAGAGGTCATGGCAGTCTGGTGAGGCTCTTGCTGAAGGTAACATAGCCCCTGTTTTTAAAAAGGGTCAAAATGAAGACCTAAGGAACTACAGGCTGCTCAGTCTCACCTCCATGCTTGGCAAGATGGTGGAACATTGTCCTGGAAAGTCTGCTAAGGCACATGGAAAACAAGGAAGTAACAGGTGACAGCCAACACGGCTTCACTGAGGGCAAGTCATGCCTGACCAATCTGCTGGCCTTCTGCAACAAGGCTGCAGGGATGGTGGATGGTGGCAGAGCAGCTGATATCATCTGCCTGGATTTGTGTGAGGTGTTTGACACTGTCCCACATGACATCCTGGTCTCCAAACTGGAAGAAGTTCAATTCTGCTGAATGACTGAACTCCAGAATGATGGAGAGTTTGGAGAGGCTCAAAAAGAACAACTAAAGAACTAGAAAACATGAGATAGGAAAGCTTTTACAGAATCCCTAAATAAAAGAAGAATTTCAAGACATATAATATTGATTCTCAAATACAACAAACATGCAGAGGAGAGATGCAAAGGTGAGAGGAATAAAATTATCCTCTGTATCTACTGTGGATACAAGATGCCACAGACTTTTCTGCTCTACTTTAAATCCATTGGTAAGGAGAGAGTAGAACTAGTTGGATACATAAAGGGTATGGGATCTCTGTTCTCTGATGTGGTAGTGCTTGTTGATGAGAAGCTGGACATGAGCCACCAGTGTGTGCTGGAGCCCAGAGAGCCAATGGTGTCCTGGGCTGCATCAAAGGAAGTGTGCCCAGCAGGGCCAGGGAGGAGGTTCTGCCCCTCTGCTCTGCTCTTTTCTGGTCAGACCCCACCTGCAGTGCTGTGTCCAGCCCTGAAGCCCACAGCACAGGAAAGACATGGAGCTGTTGGAGAGGGGCCAGAGAAGGGCCAGCAAGATGATCAATAGCTTGCACAGCTCTGCTATGAAGGCAGACTGAGAGATTTGGGGCTGTTCAGCCTGGAGAGGAGAAGGCTCCAGGGAGACCTTAGAGCACCTTCCAGTACCTGAAGGGGCTCCAGGAAAGCTGGGGAGGAGATTTTCACAAGAGAGGGCAGTGATAGGAAAAGGGGTGATGGTTTTAAATTGAAAGACAAGATGATCAATAGCTTGCACAGCTCTGCTATGAAGGCAGACTGAGAGATTTGGGGCTGTTCAGCCTGGAGAGGAGAAGGCTCCAGGGAGACCTTAGAGCACCTTCCAGTACCTGAAGGGGCTCCAGGAAAGCTGGGGAGGAGATTTTCACAAGAGAGGGCAGTGATAGGAAAAGGGGTGATGGTTTTAAATTGAAAGAGGGCTTAGAGATCAAGAAGAAATTCTTCACCATGAGGGTAGGAAGGTGCTGGAATAGGTTGCCCAGGGAGGTTGTGGCTGCCCCATCCCTGGAGGTGTTCAGGGCCAGACTGGATAAGGCTTGTGCAGGCTGGTCTGGTGGGAGGTGTCCCTGCTCATAGCAGAGAGGTTCTGTGCTTCACAGGAGTTAACCCTAGACTTTGGTTCATGAAGCTTGCAAGAACAGAGCCATGTGCAGAGCATGTTCTGCTGAGTGTATAAAGTATGGCAGAGTCGGCCACTTGCATGTTTTCTATCTGCAGCCAATGCAGGAGGCCTTAAAGTTTGAAGCAGAATAATTTTTATAATTGTACCAAGCCCTCTATAGTATTTGATAGTTGTACAAAGCAGGAAACTCCTCTAGGTAATGCATCTGAGAAGACTGATGACACAGGTTTTTCTTTCATCACTACAACAGTTCTGTTTGTTAGGGATGCATCCATTCCTCTTTTTGTTAAAGAACATTCCCCCCCACCCTGTTTCACTTACAAGTTTGTGCTTTTTCCTGTTATTATACGTCCCTTTCAGCAGCAAAATTGAAGTACCTGTTTTGTTTACTTCCATTTGTTGGAGATCACGTGTTCCCTTGCAGGCACGTGGCCTCATTCCTGATGCATTACAAGCACTATTTAGTTACATTTTGTAGTTTTCACATCCATCTGCAGTAGAACCAAGTATTTATTACTGGTCTTCCACATACAGTGGGTGCTGGCTATGGCCCTGGCTACTCAAGGCAACAAGGCAATGCTTCAACATCAGTAGTCTGACCACTTGGCTGCTGACAATGTGTTTTTTTTAGCATTGTGTCAATTAAACTTACTTAAAACAAGAGATAATACTAAACAGTGATGAAAACAGTACTTGTTGGGTCACCCAATAAAAGCTTGCAGCTTGGTGCAACAGAGATTATGCTGAGAAACCTCTCAGGTAAAGCTAGTTGCCTTGACATAATTCAAACTCAGAAAGACACACAGTTACATTTTATACCAGAAAGTAAACCTGAATTTTGGACCAGTTCAGAGAGGAAGAGGTTGCTACATTTTAATTTCTCTTAACCTGATTCATTCACTTGCTTGCAAAGCTGGGCTGTTTTGTCATCTCTCTTTACTAAATGGTCTGTTTTCAGTTCTAAATTTAGTTCTGCAGTGCCCAGCCTTGGGGGAGCACTGGAGGCACGAGGTGAGCTCAGTGTGGACTTTGGCCAGTGCAGGGAGCAATGTGTGTGTAGAGAGGCCCGTAAGCCTCACTCACAGCAGCTGGCACAGCCTCCCTTGCAGCAAACAAGCCCTCAGCAGCTGAGGTGTCTGATGCTGCTGCAAGGTCCTGCTCTCCCAGAGGGAGCACAGCAGAACTCCTCAGAGAAGTAAGAGCAGTGGCTGCTGCTGAAGCTGCCACCAGAACCTCTCCCTGAAGGCAGCTGGGCTGGGATTGCACTTGCAGCCCCTCTTCACAGACTAGCTAAAAAGAACCTCCAGAGCCAGGTGACAGAGAGCTTGTAGCTTTTGTTGTGTTTGCCTGGCTGCTGCTGGAAGAATTGTCTGAAATAGTTACAAAGTTTAAAAGAGAAAACAGACAGGGTAGCTATTAAAAGTAAGTTGTGCCTTTTCTAAAAAACCAGATGTGATGCAGTGCATATGCTGAATAGGGAAAAGATACTAAAATTATACTAATTTAGCCCAAACACAGAATGGCTGCAAGTTGCCCAATTTTATTCTGCTTTTTCCACCTCCCTCCCTTGTCTGACTTAAACCATGAAGCAAATGGCCCTTCAGCCTTTATCACTGTACAGAATGGTACTGCAGCAGTGTCCAGACACCCAGGCTGAGCTCATGGCTCTGTTATTTCAGTACAGATGCATTGTTATAAAACCAGACCTTCTCTGCGAATTTTTGTGGCTACCAAAAGTTATTGCAGAAACTAGAGAAAGGAGAGTTTAGAGAGCACTGAGGAGTAGAAATGAGGGCTTCAGAGTGCTCTGGCTGGTTGAGTAAAGAGAGTCTTGTTAGCAAAATCATGAAGGCAGACATGAACTCTTCTGCCTGCCCTCCAAACCACCTGGGTGTGAACTGAACTCACCTCTCTTGCTGTCTGGTGGGGCTCATTTGCTGAGGCCTTGCAACATCCAGACCAAGACTTGCTCCTACCTGAGCAAGTCAGAGCATGGGTGGAGCTTTCTCATATCCAGCTGGGCCTATCTAGTACAGATGTGCCCCAAGGGAAATAGATGGTGACTGATTAAATGCAGCTAAAAAAAACTCATGCTGCCAAAGATTCTCCTGGAACCCCTTTTACGCAGAGGCCTGGAAACACCAGAGATTCCTGCGTGACCAGGTCACAAGACACTTTAGATAAATAACACTGAACTGATTGTACAAGAGCTATTTTTTGCAAAATGAAATCTGTTTCAGAAAACTGGGACTTCACTTGCTGCTTGTTTCTTGGCAGCAGAACACTAACGCCTGTGATGTGCTGCCACTCATTTCTGGCAAGCACTAAGTATGTGGTTTATAATCTGCACTCATACATAATCAGTTTCAAGTTGTTTCTATAGATGCTGAATGTAAAATATTTGGATCAAACAGATTGTATTATCTTATATAACTTATTCAATTCCATATATTCAATGCCACATTTCTCCCTTTTTTTTTTTTTTTTCCTTTCTTTCCTTCTTTCCCAATTGTATCAGTTGATCCTGTGATTAGGAGCTTCTAATAGCTATGGATTGTACTTTGGAACAGAGCTTCTAAACATAGAGGAAGCCCATCAGTGGAACAAACAACTAGTGGGTGGCATTCAGGCAGAGTTACATATGCATTCTCTCTCATTTTCTTTGCCCTAAGGAAAGCTTTCGTGCATCCTGCAATGTATTTTCCTTCCATCTCCTCACCCCTACTGGTTTCCTATTTGTCATCTATATTTGTTATAATGTTCTATATATTCTGGCCCAAATTTTGTCCCTACTTAGTTTTTTCTTGTCCTTTCCTAGCAATTTTTTTCGTGGGTTTCACTGGAACTTTGCTTGCATAAGAGTTCAGAACTTCCAGATTTGATTCTTACAGTGAAGTTTTCTCCACCTTTTTTTCACCACTCATACTAATTTCACTGGGAATAACTCCTTTCATGCTACATCCCAGCTTCTGCAATCTTACTATCAGAGTTAAGTCAGCATCTCCCAGTCAAGGATGGATTTATTTAAAGGCCCATGAGGAACCATGGCACAGCCTTATCCTCCTGTTAAATATAAGTGAACTGTGACCTGTGTAAGTGGGATGTCTTGTAAAAGATCACACAGAAAGGTAGAGACAGCCAAGAATGAAAAAAAACCCCACAACTCTTTAATCCTAGTCTCTCTGTGGATAGAAGAGGTGTTTTCCAAATGCTCTTAATCTGTGGATAGAAGAGGTGTTTTCCAAATGCTGCATTTTCCTATTGCTATTTATATTTTAAGGGAGAAGTTTTTAATTACTGCAATTCTGTCCTGCCACATTAAATACCTGCATATTAACCTGGAATATAGAAATAGAACTGCTGTTTTAGGGGATTTCTTTTTTTAATTGCAGTGTGATTGTAAGTGAAGTTGGTTCAACTGAGCAAAATAAACTTAATACAACAGAATTTCCACTGGGCTATTTAATGTTGAGGCTTTGCCACTTCTTTTGCAGTATCTTCTCTGTCTGAAACATATTACTTGATTCTAGCTTTAACTCACTGAGGCATGTTGTGTTATTTAGGTCTAAAATATCTATTACCACAGGGCTGCTACTGCTGTGAATACAAAATCTGCCTCTGCATAGTATCTCAGCTAAATGCTGAATTGTACAGATTTTAATTTCAGATCTCCTTTATGACAAATACTAATTTTTCCATCAATAGACTTAACCCTTTTTGCAGTTCAAGTCATGCTAACAGTCTTTTACCTTTTTGTTTTCAGAGAGGAAATCAAGAGAGGTCTTAAGGATTTGGAGGAGGTAAAACCAGCAGGTGACACATATATACATGAAGGATTAAAACAGGTAGGTCTTAGGAATCTTCTTGGAATTAAAATGTCCTCTGTTCTCACCCCTTTGATAACAAAACCAACCTGCAATGTAAACTGATTTATTTTATGCCTCAGTCTGTTAGGCTCAAATCTTTTTGGTTTCCTAAGTTGTCCCAGGATTGCTCAGCTACTGTGCAGATCCCAAGCAGAAGATTAGCCATGACAGAATATTGCCATATGGAATTGCATTGACTTGATCTTTCACAGTAGAGAGCAATTCTTTGTTGTGAATTTAACAGCTAACACAGCATAGCAATTACATGGTATATAGTCACACACAGCCTGGTAGGGCTGAAAGTCTAACAGTGCTTTCTAGAGCATGTGCTTATGGAGAGTTTACTGCACAGATCAGCATCCTCAAGACAAATGGTCTTCATTTTCTACTGTCTGAATGAATGAATTCCTAACTGCTTATATTTTCTGGAGATATGTAGTTAAAATGTGCTTTGCAATTTTGCTGAAAGACTCAGGTGCTAAAGGGAAGGATCTAAGTTTTCACTGTTATGGGTAGAAACTCAGTTTCTTCCTTTATGACTGTGAAGCCAAGATTATCATTGTGATCTGCAGACTGAAAAGCAAACAGAAGTTTGTTGCTGTTTAAAAAGAATTAGTTTTAAGCCATTATATTTATATCTTGAAACCTACTGACTGGCATTTGCAATCTCTGGGGTACCAAAGAAAACCTTGTGTTGGATCTAAAGAGAAGTGAGCTTCACAACTCAGAGAGTATCTGTACTGAAAGAATTGTTTCCAAGGGTTGACCCAAGGTAGTGACCCCAGCACTTCAGAGCTGGGCTCACAGGTGACTGGAAAGTACTGATTAATTATTTCCTTGTTGGTAGTAGGATTGTTGTGAGAGATGGGTTTGAGGATGAGACTGTTTCAGATGCTGCATTTACTTAGAAGATGCATCTTAGTTAAAAGTTCAGGCGTGATGCTAAGCTGGATAAATATTTTTGTCTTCAGGCCAACGTGCAGATTGCGAAGCAAGGAGTCTCAAGGTTTTCTAGTATCATCATTGCATTGACAGATGGCAAGCTAGATGGTCAGATTCCCTTGTATGCAGAGAAAGAGGTGAGCACTAGGTGAAAATGCATGTTATATTCTGAACAGTTTGGGTGTTGCCTGTTGAAGGAAAACATGCTTATTCCTCTCTATTCTGGGGCAGGCAAAGAAATCCAGAGACCTGGGAGCTAGAGTTTACTGCGTTGGTGTCCTTGATTTTGTACAAGAACAGGTAAGAATGTTACTATTTTAGATTACTAGGCAGCACCTTGTCACAGGATTTACACAGTTAGTGTTAAGTAATATGCAAATTAATTTTACTTACAGGAAATCAGGAAGCAGACACTCAGATGCATATGTAGACATAAATAGAACATTGAGTGTCACCTTCATCACTGAGAAGACCATTTAGAAATACCCTTGCTAACTGGTAGCTGCCAGCAGGAAAAGATGCAGGCAAAACCCCTTTATTAGGCCACAGGTTGCATGAACAGAGTAGCTGTAGACAAGCTTCAAGCAGCATGTGTAACAGCCTCAGGGTAAGAAAAAGAAAGGAGGAGGATCCGTGTCCTTAATGAACTGAAAGCTCCTCTGGAATTGCCTTGTCCCAGTGAAGGCTGTAGCTCCTCCTCTATCGTGGAAGCAGCATAAATGGAGAAGTAAGCAAAAGCATCTTTACTATATTAGGTGCATAGGAAGGCTTTTTAACAGAAGGAAGAGCAAACAGGGAAGGTAGTTCTGGAAAGAGTTAGGAAATCACTGCCAAGATACAGGCCCTAAAAGGTTTCTTTAGTGTGGTAGTTTGACACGATGGCTAGCTACTCTACCACTTTGTTAGCTGCAGTAGCTTGCATTAACTCATTTTCATTAAGAAAAGTCATGGTTAGCTGTGAGGGAACTGAACATTTTCTTTCTCTTTGCACAGTTGATGGGAGTTGCTTTTAGATATCCATTTACATTTTAAGGGTGAAAAGCAGTGCGACAAATATAGTTTGCCAAATGATTCATATGTTTGCATGCATTTTCTCTCCAAAGCTTGAAAAAATTGCTGACACAAAAGAGCAAGTCTTCCCTGTCACTGGAGGATTCCAAGCACTTAAGGGGATAATCAATTCTGTGAGTATCAGGCAATAAGCTTAATGTTTCCTCAAGATTACAGCATACTCTCCACTCCCACTTACTTTTCCAGGCAGAATTGGTTCCTAAATCAGTAATTGCGATGTATTATGTTCTCTCCTGCTTATTGTAGAGATGCAGTTCTGTAAATGAACATTGCCTGCCACTCCTGCAATTACTCATGCTCAGACCTCATGTGGAGTTTGAAGACTCCAAACAAGTGTGGCAAGTTTGAGGGGGCTGAGGAATTTGAGGAATGGCTGCTATAGGTTTAGTCTGAAAAAATGGAGACTGTTACTCCAGGAGAGTTGAGAAGAACTGGTTAGGCATGAGTGCAATGTAGGCATTGCCCAAGTCTTTGTATACAGAGAAGCATTCTAAATATATACTTGACTTTAACCACTTGTTTTCCCAGTAAGTGGTAAGACTTTCTCATGCCATGAGAAGCTCCCATTAGTGACATGAGGCCATTCAGCAGATTTCTCTGATTTGCAAGAGTGGATCAAAGCAAGGGATTGTGATCAGTAGCTGACAGTATTTTAGTGGTGTGTTTTATGCAAGGTTAACTGTGCTGCTGCTGCTTGTAGGCACACTGTGGGAAAAAGCTTACTGTCAGAAGTCAACTCAAAACCAAGAGTGAAATCCTTTTACTATAGTTCATTTCCCTTTCCTCTTTTTTTTTTTTTTAAATAAAGGATACTACTCACATACAGGATATTACACAGTCATGGTTTTACCACTTCCTTTGAATAGTGTTTTTTTTTGTGGAAGTTAATGTCATGATGATACAACTTTTTTTCCTTCTTGTCTTTTAAAATAAATGTCATTTCAGAATCTTCCTTGCACATTCTAAAGAGATATAATAAACCTTTTTGTGTGGTGACATTTCTGAAAAGATAGTACAGCCCGGGTGGTGCTGTTTATGAAGTTCTCATTCTATGCCATTTTCAAGACTTAGAAGAATCAGTGATTTTGCTATGCAAAGTGGTGCAACATTGAAACCACTAGTGATAGACTTCTTTGTAAGAGCTGAATGTTAACCCCAGTTCATTATGTTAAGTTTCCAAGGATTCTGCTTTTCAAAATTTGTATGCCAAGACAGAGCCAGATAAAGGACTAAAGGCACTTGTGTTTGGAGTTTCCTCTCCAACAGGGGTCACTGACCTGCAGCTTGGACCCTTCCAAGGAGTCAGGTGTCTCCACTCTTCTTGCTCTTCAAAGATGCAGTAGGGGTCTGGTCACTTGAGATTTCTGAAGTGCTCATCTTGAGGAGTCTGTAATTCAAACACACAGGAATTTGGCATATCCTGCAAGTTGTCCCATTATCCCCCATCCTCAGTCAAGGGCAGCCTCTGGCTAGTAGAGTGCTCTGTCTCTTTTATACCTCCTAGGAGTTTTCAAGCACCTTCACTTCTTTGTGGACAAAGCAGGAGAAGCTTTTTGGCTAAGACTTGGCAGATGGCATTTGCACAAGCTGTAGTCCAGCTTCTGGCACCTGTGAAAAACCTTAGTGTAAAAACCCCAGAATTGTGCATATCATTGCTTGTAGAGCAAGAAAAGATGCACATAATGGCAGCACTTTTTTGTAAGATAACAGCCTAACACTGGCAGGGACTGTGTTACAGCTTTAATGCATTGTCTGCTCCTTTAAACTGTGACTAAACTCCTGAACTGTTTAGGGTTTTATTTTGATGAACTGCAGCTAGAATAGACATTACGACACTTGGCTTACTGCATATTTCTGTCCACAAACTGACCCTTATCTTGTAGCTGTTGGAAAATGTTTTGCTGATAAAAAAAGGAGTATGAGAAGGCTTTTTTAATGGGAAAGATGTCAACTGACTTCAGCCTTACCTGCATCAATCTCATTTGTTGGGATACAGGATCAAACAAAACAAGTTAGTGCTAGTGATTGAATGACTCCTGAGAGCTTTTAGAGGTTTGAACCTTGTTTACAGCTTTCTGAAAAGCGCTCAATCTAAAGTGGAGTGTCATGTATCTGTCAAGGCATTTGAAACTTTCCTCTTCTCTAGTAAGCACATTGCATGTACTTGTTGGAAGCTGGGGCAGAATGATACTCTGCCAGCATCCCTGTTTTATGACAGAATATGGATGGAAGTATGCATAGATAGGGTTTTTTGGTTTGTTTGGTGGTTTGGGGTTGGGCTTTTTTGTGTTTTTCTTTAAATGCACATGTGGTGGCTGTATTAACCTGATTTTTTGGTATGCTGTACTTACAACTCAATTTTCTTTAAAGAGGTTTTGGCTGATTGTGACAATTCATTCTCTTTGCATTAAAATTGATAAGCAGATCTAATTGAACATGAAATAGTCACAGTTTTCCCTTTAATTCACAATTATAAGTCCGTTTCAGTTTGCAAGTCAGCTGGAGAGTACCATCTCAAAGAGATACTGTCATAAGAGGGAAAGCTAATTTCAAAACAGATGAAAATGAAATACCCGTGTTACAAACACGTAGAAATATTGCTCAAAGTGTTGTGTCAAAGGTGCAGTTGTGAAACACTTCATAAACATTGTTGAACACTTCTTGTTTAGGAAAAATACGCTGTTTACAGAAATGGCAGCAACCCAGCAATTAAAACCCTCAAGCAAAACTACAACACAGAGCTGTTCAGTAGGAGTAACTGAAAGAGCTGCTTGAAACCTCTACTGCATTTGTCTCTGCTGGACTCAGCTGTGAAATTTTTTGGTTGCTACATTGCTAAGCAGTTAATCTTTGTTGTTGGAAAAAGAAGTGATGAGCTTTACCATAGAGTGTCTCTTAGTACCTGCTTCTGCCATTGTTTGAAGTCTAAGCAATTATTCCAAGTTACTTGCTTTGGACAGATACACAAAATGTGCTTAATCATGGCCAGGGTTTAACATTCTAGACAGTGGAGCTGAGCATTTAGAGAAAACCTAGCTCAGATGCTGAAAAGCTTGCACTGTGTTTTGACCACCCTAGTTCAGATAAAACCCCAGTGAACTGAATAAGGATTTAAGCACCACCAGGCTGTGTTGTGTTTCTGTTGAATAATACCAACTTATGATTCAAAACTCTGTGCAGACTTCTGTGAAGAGGTGACTGTTTTGTTAAGTTTCCAGCTCTTCTGACATTGCTAATATCTAACTTTACAAAGTAGTAACTAAACAGCATTGTCAGGGTAAATAAATCTTAGCAGAAGTCTAGACCTTAACAGAAAAATGCTGAAGGCAAGTTATTAAGCTACCAGGAACAGTTTAGTGATGTAGTTTGGCTGATAATTACATGGAGCATGACCTCATGAGCAACCCATAGCAGTGTAAACTGGAGAGGTTTGGGAGTGCACAATTTATATCACCATGTGACAGTCTAGCACTGTTTAAGGAAATGAAACCCATTCTTCTTTCCCTTCCTATATATGATTTATGTCAAATTTTTATTTTTTTTTTACTAATTTAAGAAATTAGATTAAGAAACATTTGGGAATTTATCATTTAACATCTCTTCAGACAAGGGTGCTGAGCTGTAAGCAAGCCAACTTGAAGAGTGCTGTACCTGCATCTGCCAGATACAGTCCTGAACCACCTGAAGTGCTTTCATCAAGAGAAACTGTGGAGATTCTGTGTTTATTGAGTAGCTCAGTCAGACCCTCAGTTTGCCTAGGGCATCAGTTTCTGTAAGATGACTTAAGACTGTGGCTAACAGCTTGGAGAGAGTTGGATGGTGTGTCTCAGGCATCAGGTCAACTCTTCTCTGTAATGCAAAACACAGTATTGGACTCCTTGTCAAGGAGAGGGGCAGAAGATGTTTTCATTCATAGAAACAGGGAATGCTGTTGTTTGGACCACTGCTTGCTCCAACTGTTTGGTCGCTTACGAAATGGAGAATTAATGAGATCAGCAAGTAAGTGAAGGAGCTGAGAGCCAAGGTGGTGCTACCACTTGAGTCAAACATGCAGAGTCTTTAGGCAATACCTCTCATAAGACTGAAGTTTCTGTAGTGTTCACATAATTCTCTGCTGTAAATCAGTATGGTGTTTTATTTTATTTCAGTTTTCCCTGCCATTTTTTCATATTTTGCTGACTTTTGTGGCACGTTTCTGTGCACCTGCTTTGCACAGCTCAGCAAATCTGAATTGCTTTTATGTGCCACATTCTGAAAAACAAAAACCAGTGGAAAATCCCTGCTTCCCCTGTCACCTAAGTGAATTCAAGTTCTGCTGATTTGTGACTGAAAGTTGCCTGGTTGTCTCTCCAGGCAGAATTGGACAAGGCTCGTGCCTTTAAAGTTACATTAATGGAACTAAGTGACATCATTAGAGTGTGTGACAGTTCTAAGCAGACTTAAATGCATTTTTATGCTAAACTGAGTTGGCAGCACTTCAAACAGGAAGTTAAAATAACTTGTACTTAAACTCTACAAAAACTTTTCAGATAAGACTACAGGAACTGATAAATGCAGAACTTCAGAGGAAGCAGTTTAAAAAAAGTTCAGTCTAGAATTGATTTATCTTTAATTGTTACAAAACTTCTTAAGAATTCTCCCTGAGAAGGATTAGCAATAGAATTGTCAAGCTTTCTTTTTGCAAGTGAATTGTTCATTTTAGGTAGGAAAACCACCCTTAATCATACTGGACAAAAAAAACCCAACAAATATTGATCAAGACTTAAACTGAGCAGTTGTATCACTTAGAATATTTTAAATTGAAGTTAAATTGTCTTCAGGTTGGCCAAGCCCCTCAGGGCCTTAGCATAAAGTTGTTGGTGCAGTATAAGCAGGTAGTACTATAAAAATCTTCCTGCCTAATTGTCAAAATTCTTTCCAGTGCATCTCCAGTCACTTCTCATCTTGAATGTGGTGACAGTCATTGTCACTACACTTGTATCCCAAAACCTCAGCAGAAGAAGGGGCCACAGAGGCTTCACAAGACTTGGTGAAAAGCAGACCTATACCTCTGTGCCTTCAAAAAGTCAGTAGGGAGAGAGGTAAATGACCCATGTTGGTCAGTGAATTGGTG